TAAATACTGACATATTCCCTGGAGACACACCCCTGTAAATACTGACACATTCCCTGGGGATTCCCCCTGTAAATACTGACACATTCCCCGGGGATTCCCCCTGTAAATACTGATGCATTCCCGTCTCTCCCCGGTGCTTGCCTCCCCCGGTGTTCCCCTCTCTCCTTGACGTTCCCTCTCTCCCCTGCATTGCCCCTCTCTCCCTTTCACCCAGCACTCCCTCTCACATCCCCGGCATTCCCCTGTCTGCCCGGTGCATCCTATCTGCCCAGCGCTAACTTTCACCCTGGCGTTCCCCTCTCTGCCCAGCATTCCCTGTCTCCCCAGCATCCTCCCCTTCTCCCTAGCGTGCCCCCTACTCAGCATTCCTCTCCCTCTCTCTCCCTCTCCCTCACCCACATGACCCCCGGCACTCTGCTCTCTGCCCATCATTCCCTGCCTCTCACTGTGTCTCTGTCTCTGTTAACTGAACTTATTGTTCCCCCCCGCCTCTCTGCAGCAGGCACAGACCACTCCGGGCCCACGGATCAAGCACGTGTGTCGGCGTGCCGCAGTGGCATTGGGTAAACCGCGGGCAATGGTTCCCGTCGACATCCCGCGGCTCAGTGCCCTGCCCATGCATGAGCGAGGCAGCATCATGACTACACCAATGGACGGTGAGTGAGTGGGGAGCTGGTGGGTGGAGGGGGCAGGTACAGAGGGTGGAGGGGACAGTTCCAGGAGCTGGGGGGAAGTTAACAGGGGGAGGGAACCGGGGCTGCAGGGTGGTTTCGGCTTTCTCACTTCGCCCCCCCCCCCCCCCCCACTTCTGACCCCTTCCCCCATTCTCCCCCGTCTCTCCCCCTCTCTCAAACCCCTCTCTCTTCCCCCTCCCCCTCCCCCCCCCCCCCCATCTCTCCCTCCCCCCCCCCTGCCCCCCCCCCCCCCATCTATCGCCACCTCTCTCTCCGTCTCCCCTTCTCTCTGTCCACACCCCCCTCTCAAATTGCTATAGCCCACTCTTTCCGTCTCTTCCCCCACCCCTCCACCGTAGTGCCCCCCGCTCTCCACCACACTCTCGTCTTTTTCTGAAGAAGGATCCCGACCCGAAATGTCAGCTTTCCTGCTCCTCTGATGCTGGCTGGGCCTGCTGTGCTCCTCCAGCCCCACACCGTGTTATCTGTCCCTAACCTACGTTGCTGTCGGCTGCTCTTCACCTCATCTGCTATCGTGCTTGCTTGTCTGTCCATGCCCTCTCTCGACCGCGCCCCCTCTTGACTGCGCCCGCTCGATCGTGCCCGTTCTCGATCGCACATGCTATCATTCATGCCTGCTTCTGTTCTCACCCATTCCCATTCACACCCGCTGACCATCATGTCTGCTCCGGTTTGCACCTGCTGTCATTCTCCTGCCGTGTCCTCATGCGCTCTCATTCATGCCCATGGTCGATTGTACCTGCTGTGGCTCGCACCCGCTCTGGTTCCCTCGCCCTGTCCTCATACACTCTCGTTCACACGTTCTGTCACCTTGTCCTCGTGCCCCCTCTACCTCACCCGTTCTTGTTCATGCCTGCCATTGCCTGCTGTCTTGCCCTGGCCTTCTGTGTCACACTGACCCCCGCTTTCTCTGTCTCCCCGTTGCAGCGGACACCTCGTCCTCCGAGCCTGAGAGCCCGGTGCCCGTGCTGTCTGCCGTGAAGACCGAGAGGGAGGCGGAAGGGATGCCCGAGGTGACCGAGGCTCTGCTGCCGACTCCGGTGGAGGAAGAGGCCAAGCCGCCCCTGGCCATTGGCCAGCCCAAACGCCGTGGGAACCGGTGCGGCAGCTGCAAAGGGTGCCGTAACCTTGCCGATTGCGGCAAGTGCGTTAACTGCCTGGACAAGCCCAAGTTCGGCGGCCGCAACACCAAGAAGCAGTGCTGTGTGTAAGTACGTTCCCGCTCGCTGGAGCGACGAGGCCTTCTCTAGTCACATATCCACTCTCCGTCCTCCCTGTGAGCTTCGTGCCGTCTGTCCAAGTTACTGAGAGTCAGGTGCGCTGCCCAAAACGGAGCGTTCAAACAGAGTTCTCGTAACCAGTCCCGTCAGCCCGTTATGTGAATCTGACAAAAGACTCGAAAAGGGAAAATGTTTGTGGGGGTGGGTGGTGGGCAGACGCAGAATCATGAAGGAACGATTGGACTCCTGCCTCTCTGGTGTCTACCACCCCGCTTTGGAAGCTGCACAGCTGATCGAGAGCTTCCATTCTGCGAGTCGGCTCCCTGCTGTAATGTGGAAGCTCGATGGTGCACAGCACAATCCCACAAACAGGCAATGGGATAACTTAGAGCGAGTGGGATTTGTTCAGGAATTGTCACGGGGGAACAGGAGTAAACGGGGCAGTGGGATTGGTTTGGGGATTGACACAGGGCTACGGGGAAAGAGTGAGATCGATGCAGGGCTGTGGGGAGAGAGTGGGACTGACACTGGGCTGTGGGGAGAGAGTGGGACTGACACTGGGCTATAGGGAGAGAGTGGGACTGACGCAGGGCTGTGGGGAGAGAGTGGGACTGACG